CTCGAATCGCCGTCGAGTCGGTACGACTTATCTTAACTCTAGCACCGTAGTAAGAACTGGAAGATGAAAGATGGTGAAAGAAAATCTGATTGCTTACCATCTGCTTGAAAGTAGCACAGGTGCTTACATAGAATGGTTAGTTAATGAACCAATACACCGCTAATAAAAATCGAATAAATGGACACCCTTTTAGTAATGCTCCTGCACATACAATAAACTCACAAGCCAGATAGTCTTGCATATCCTTGGAGTCTTTTATTTCCTTCTGTCGGGTAAGTCTTGTTGAGTACAATTGATTACTCAGGGTTTTATTTCCCCCTGTTGCAGGTGACAGGTGGAGGCTAGAGCTGACCTTTGTATGTGGATTACTCCTGGTGGGCTCAGAGAGGATTTCCTTTACGCTGCGATCATAGTTTTTATTTATAACTCTCACCAAATATTTTATTAAATGGAAGTTTTATAATCTGTTGTCATAATTTATATATATATCAATGCTTCAACATTTCAGGAATAGATGTTTATTTTCGCTGTAATTCTGATCACATGTCTATATTCCGCTGTTAAATTAAATTGTTCATAACTCTGATAACATGTTCATATTCCGCTATTATAAATAATAAATGTTATACTCTGATGTTACATGTAAAGTGTTGTAAGAAATGGTTAATAATGATGTAAGCTTTATTCTCTCATTTGTGATCTTGATGTAAAAATGTGGATTTTCGGGTTCTCTCATAGGGTGTGCCCGACGGAACTGCGTGATTTGGTGTTCTCCCTTAAGTGCTTAGTGTCTAATGTAAGACGAGCACTCCTGAGAGGTATTAGATTAGACAGTTCTGCCACAGTGAGTGCGTTGAATATTCGGCTAACGATGATGTTAATAGGAGAAAGGAATTTTTATTTTCATGCAAAATCAACAGAACAAGCCGAACATGGTGGCAATTGGAATATTGATGGAATCAGTAATCCACGAAAATACCAAGCAGATTTTGTGGAGCCCAAAGCTCGTTGCTAAATGCTACTCACTTTGTTCCAAATTATTTGACATTTTGGCTTTTCTAAATGCATTGTTTTTACAATTTTACTATGTCACAAAAAAACAAGCATAAGGTTAGAAAGCCAAAGCTTATTCCAAAGTCTCTGGCTAAGTATGAAAGAGAGATGGCCAAGAGTCCCTAGTTAACTTAATAATTTTAGACAGTAAAGATCATATTTGATACGGAAGATTAGTGGATGGAATCATCAGTCAAGATCACATCTAATACGGAAGATTAGTGGATGGAATCCTCAGCACGAGAATTTTCATATATAGACTCAGTTTCTATCGTATGGATCACCTAAGCTTTATACCCCGGTATGATTTATCATCGACCACCTCTGTTTTATTATAATACAAGCATCCCATATTCTTTTGTGCATTATTGGCCTCGTTCGGCTGGTATGAAAAAGCTACTGTCCACGACTGACAACACTGTTTATGCTGAAATTTTGTGAGAGAAAAACACTGTTCCGGATGAAAAAAGAAGAGGATCAAGCCAGGTTTTAGATCAGCCGAACAAGGCCATTATCTTTTTATCTGGATTAGACTACTTATATATATATATATATATATATATATATATATATATATATATATGTATGTATGTACAGATGCAACAGTACTCCTACAAGTACATCCGAAGAATTGAGTTAGACCGACAAATCTTGAGATTGACGAAGTCACCAAAGATGGCCACCTGATGCACATTGCCTACCACCGATAGAATGATGTCATTAAATCACCTTAAAATAAATTCAAGAAAATACAAGCACTCATGTCAATTCGAGAACTTAAACCCGATTGAGTACATAAAGTCAGTTTAATCATAGAAGAAGAGACAACATGTTTAAATAAGTTTATTGGGTCACTAACGCCATTAAATCGTCTGGAAATAATTTTTTACAATCACAAGCACTTGTATCGAGTTAAGAACTTGAACTTGGTGATAAGTTCAAATCAAAGAAATAACTACTCTCTTTAATCGCCCGAGAATCCTAGGCCTACGAGAGCCTTCCGTTACTGTTCACGTTAATGTGTGCCGTTCATCAGCCTTCACGTTAATGTTCACCGTTCACGTCAGCCACACTTCGTTTTCCTGCGCAACATGCGTCTTACTGTTTGTTATTTATATATATTTATATATATATATATATATATATCCTCTATATTGCTCTGTTATGTGCCCCTGCAGTAACCGGCGCGGCGTCAGCACGCCTGCCTGCCTGGTGTTCTTGATGCGGCTGGCTAGCAATCGGCTCTCCTCCTGTCCTCCATCTCTAGCAAAGTAATTGAGGTTCAGGGCTCGGTGTCATATTCATGGCTCAGTCCTACTGATTTCTTATTCACTGAACTTCAAATTTCAGTGCATTTTACCGTTTCCATATTGATTTTTTGAAGTCTTCTACAGTTAAAATGATTGCATTTTCAATTAAAAGATGAGGAGAGGCTTGCAGTGGGACTAATATCTCAAAGTCGTGCCTCGGTCCAAATCCAACTTCATGTATAGCGTATATGTGATAATGTAACCAATTATGTAAACATTCAGGCAGCACGATCTCTCACCTTCAACAAACAATTATATATAAGGATCTTAAGCGGTCCAAACAAATATATAAGGATCTTAAGCGGTCCAAACAATTAGATATAAGGAAGGATGATCCTCCACAGTGCAACATGCCTCGGGGATTATTATAAGTTAACAAGCTACAAGCAGCGGTAATCATGAAAAAGAAAAGAAAGCCAATGCTTCGAATCATGTCTTCTGGTGCGAGCGACGAGCAACCACAGCTTGTTACCCCTTACCCAGGCAATTCTTCCAGAGTTACGTTTGTTTCTGGCATAGCAAATCTTAGCAACTTCCGATGCACTTCATTGGCCTTGCTTGCAGTGCTTGACCCATACATTAATCTAAACCTTTTTAGATTCACCGCACAATTGAATAGTCGTTTCAAAAGAGTAATTTCATGGTCAGTCCCTTTCATGTCCATGATTACTACTACTTCAAGGCGCGTCAGAGTGAGTTTCTCGGTCTTCCACTCTGTTGGTTGATCACAAACACAGCCAAATGGACAGATTGTGCCTAAGAAGAAAGAGCATGATATTACCGTCGAATATATTGGCAAATGCAATCAGGAATAAAATAAAGAGAGCAGTAACAAAATACACAAATGCCTAGATAAGTAGCTATTCTATCAACATATTTCCACAACAAAAATTAACAATGGTAATTTGTTGGAAGCCAATTGATTTTAGCAATATGGTTGTTATTTGCATAGGAGTGATGAGGCATAAACAATTTTAAATTTTCACAAATCATAAAAACTTATACAACTGACAACACGTTATCAATAAAACCTTTTGGCGTTAACTACTCCCATGCCATTCTTGTCAGAACAGAACTATACAAAAAATCAATTGATTTCTGATTTGTTTCTAACATATTGATAGTATTTAAAGGCAATACTTTTTCCAGAGAGCCTTACAACAACTCAATTGCTTTCTATCGCTTCCTAGTTTCTTGAGTAAACAAACAGAGCTTTACCTCCAAGTTTGTATCAGCATATAAATTTAATTTCAATCGTTGCAGACCAGTACACATCCTTATCATACGGAAACAACTCGCTCCAGAAGCATGACCTCGGTTGAATACATTCAGGTGCAAGGCCGTAACTTGAGGGAGCATTGTTATGTCTCCCATCAAGTACTCATACCCATCTACAAACCCATCTATGTCCTGTTGATCCATAAGATGTTACCAAAAAATTAAAGATCAGGCAGGATAAAGGAGGAATCCAATTTTCAAATAACTGATTATCACACACAAAAAGGTCCTATATCCTAACAGGTTTGCTTTATATTACCTATGCAAAACAAGTAGTTGCATATCTAGTCTTTCTTGATTAAAAAAAATATTCTAAGCATCTATAAACATGCTTTAGTTGTGAAGTCACTTTTCAACGGCGAAAATGTGAATAAGAATAGATATTGTGCAAGTATAAACCATAACTATTCAAGTTTTAATACTCAAAGTTCATGTCCCTTTCTCGCCACCACTAAGATGCCATGAACCATTGAATAACTATTAATAGTGTACTAGTGATAGTGCATCAGCGTAGTATGTGGCTATGTGTGTTCCCTTGATCTAGACACACATATGGCATTTGGAGTAATTCCCAAACGTTACATTAAATAATACCAAGGCAGTGCTATAAAATGAACCCAAACCTAAGCCACATTATTTAACAGGGCAGCTGTTTTAATTTAGACTCTTGAATTTCTACAGACTACCCTAAGCGGGCATAACACCTAATCAAATACCTCTTGAACACCAAGTTAGCTTTGTCACAATTTAGCTTGGTAGCAATTAGCAAAGGATGTAACTCCACTCACCTTCTGAAAAATGAGCCAAAGAACAAGAGTGTTTAGGGGACCTGAAATAAGCTGCAAGAGCCTCAGACTATGATGATTAGGTTCTCTATTGTCGTGTTGCCCATACACAAGAAAATAACTGCCGAGCAGTCCGAGTTGTTCCAAATTGCCAAGACGGACAGATCGTGGATGATACAAATCAATCCACACCAGGGACTCCAGCTGAGGCACTGAGATGTGGGCACTTGGATCATCATCAAGCAAGCTGAAACTCACTTCTAACTGCTTGAGAGTCGGGGTAACAATTGTGAGCTGCCGTAATCCACAAATGCTCTCCAGCTTTATGTGTAGGAGGGACTTCGAGTGGATGGAGAGATTGTCTAGCCCCAGAGACTGGCAGACCCTGAGCTTTTGTAAGCATGGGCACCGAGGCCAAGATACAACCTCTCCGAGCTCACAAGGGCCATGGAATTGGAGGCGGTAGAGGCTGAGCTCGGCAAGCCGCGCAAATGTGCCGGAGGATGGCAAGAAGAGACCGAGAAACCCTAGCCTGAGCTCAATCGTGGTGGCCTTCTCGAAGCAGGGCAGCTCAATGCCGCCGCAATTGCAGCATCCTCCACGCCGTCGCTCCTGGGAACCATGTTGTGGTAGACAAGGCCAATGGCCAGGGAGGCGCGGCGGCGGGGGGCCAAGCCGACGCGGAAGCGGAATCGGGACCGGAGCCTTCGGTGGTGGTGACGGAGATGCGGCGGAGATCTGCGGCTTCAGGGTCATCGAGAAGCTCGCGGATGCGGTGGCCATCAGGGCCGAAGTGAAAGCGGAGCTCCGGGAGGAGGGCCCAGAGGCTGCGCCAGCGGCGCGCGAGCACGCTGGTCCGCGCGGCCTCGGCGGTGGTGACGAGGCGCAGAAGGATGTCGACAAGGAGATCGTCGGGAAGGGCGCTGAGGCGGTCCTCGCCGTCAGCGCAGGAGGATAGCTTCGCCTTCGCGAGGTTGGCTGCGATTCCTCCTCCGCCGCCGCCGCCGCCGCACTGCAGCGCCATGGATGGGAGCGGAGTGATCAAGTTGGGTTCCCCAGTCCACAGCGCAGACGAGGCCACTTGGGAACGTGAGATAATGGGCCGTTTGATTTACTCATGGCCCAGATGAGATGACGGCCGGCCCATCAACAATATTTCCATTCGTACTTGATCCTTGAGGCATGAACGAATTTTGAAACTCCCCTTTGTATAATTCTTTGACCACGGTTAGTTTGATGCCTCGTACTCTCTCTATGTTCCAAATTATAAGTCATTCTTTCTTGGAGAGGGAAAGCATCTCAAGTTTGACCACGAGTAGTCCAGCACTATAGTAGGAGAATAATTTTCTGTTTATCCCTGTCAAACTCCCAAATTTCCTCTAATATATCCCTGATTGAGCATAACGACAGTAGTCTACCCTCACCTCATCCAAATCCAGCAGCAGCCAACATAGCCGCATTTCCTTGCATTTGAGAAATAAGTTGCCCATATCTTCATCAAATCTGTGGCACATAGGACAGAGGGTGTCCAACCTGACTCCTCGTCTTGCAATGTTTTCCTTAGGGATGCCAACGGAATTGTCTTGCAATGTTTTGCACTTTTGCTTGACCGGCGAATTGGCATATGAAGATCTTCACCTTATTTTCAACATTCATTTTTCAAATCTTGTTCCAGTCAAAAGTGCAGGTATGCCTGTAAGCATTTGGGGACCCATCAAAGGATCCTCCTTCTGGAATTGGTTCAGTGTACGGTTTTCTAACTTGAGTTGCTTCCTGTTTAAATTAACCGAACCTTGTCAGAACAAGGCCGTTAGCAGCAGTACTAATGGGACTATTAACTGGAAAAATGTCAAAAGCAGGCAGACTTTAAGAAATGTGCTTGAGTGATTTATCAAGAACAATACACAGATATGCTCGTGTTTACATTGAATATTGGAACCAAGGTTTAGATTTTATTTTGGCAACTGTCGTTTATCTAACAATCAGCCGGATCAGTATTTTTCAGTCCTGCCGACAGGCCCGTCGTTTATGTTACAATGTTGAAGGGAACAAAAGTAATATAAGAGTTACTGCACAAGCATTTACAAGTCTATTGGGATAAAGTTAAAACAACATTGTATAAAATCTCATGTACAGGACCTTTTATGAACAGAAAGAATGTGTGGCCTTCATCGAGTGGTTTGAGCTGCGAAAGAATAGCCAAAAACACCAATTATGTGAATCAATGTTCAGTTCTCCATCTAAAGCGACAAAAAACTTGAAGAACCATTGCAGATGAATAACCATATTCTTACTATCTAAAGCAACAAAACTCGAAGAGCCATTTTGTATTTTGATGATGCTGGAGCTCAGCGGAACGACCATTGTATCTCCTCGAGGGTTCTTCCCTTTGTCTCTGGCACCCAAACGATTACGAACACGAGAGTGAAGGCACTCACAATCATGTAGGAGGCAAATGTACCTGTACAATTTGGAAACAAAGGTAACCTGTGTAAGGTCTGATAGTTCACATATATGATCCTACTCTACACAAGAGATAAGCACAAATGCATACGAACCTCCAGAACTCCAGCTGATCAGCAAGTTTGCTGTCATTGTTATTCCAAAGGATGTCAACCAGTTGGCAAGGGTCGCAAAGCTTCCTGCAAGACTCTTGATGCTAACTGGGAGGATCTACAAAAAGCAAAGTTTTGAAGTAAGCCTTCAGATTGCTTACAACTTGTGCCTAAGAGCACTTGCTCTAGAATTATGGATATGAACAGTGCTCTTCAGTGGAAACCTAAAACTGGGAGAGAGGCATCTAGTGAGATATCTTCGTTATCCATTAAGGTACTATACCTCAGACATTATGATCCATGGAATGGCACCCATACCGAAGGAGAAGGCAATGACATAAGCCTGGATGAAGTATTTGAACAAAAATTTATGGCACAGATTCCACATTTAAAAACAAATGTTCATATGAAATGTAACTGACAGATTTACCACGACACCAACCAAGGACACCATACTTAAGATGTTATACAAGTCAGAGTCATGTGAAACATTATCCTGAAACAAAAAAAAAACATGATAAGAAAGAAGAATATTCAGTGAAATGAGATGAGAGACCCTGCAACAATCCTGCATACCAAAATCTTCATAAATTGCAAAGAGTACAGAAGAACTACTATCTTCTCATCAGAATCTTGTAGCAAAGGAACGTGAACATACCTTGATGTAAAATACAATAGCAACTACAAGAAGGCTTAGAGTCATCCCAGCAGAAGAAATCTGCAATTTGAAGTGGCAATTAAATTAAGCTACAGAAAACTTACCAGCTAATAGCATTAGAGGGAAGCAGAAGTTAGTTACAATAAGGAGGATTCGTCGGCCAGCTCTGTCCAAGAACATGGTTGTAACAACAGTGGCAAGAACCTGATGGAATCATGGAAGGCTGTTAGAAGCTTAAAATAAAATATAGAGACTAGATAAAATCTGTCTAGTTATTATTCACATGCCTGAATAGCTCCAAGTGCAAATGTGTCCAAGTCACTGTCCTTGAGACCTGAAGAAATTTGATTGTTAAATTAAAAGCTAAAACCGACTACACTAGCACTGTTGTAGACAAAGACAAAGAAGACGTGATGCTTTTGTAAGAATATAAACAATGAATGTCACCATTCATCAAGGCAGGAGAATGACAAAACCACGTTACCACTTATAAGGGTATACAGTTATTAGCCTTTTCTGAACCTGTTATAATGCATTAGAAACAATAAGGCCATTTTATCCCAGTTTACTGTTTTGATATTTATACTTTGTAGTCCAATAACACAATTCCGCATTGCCAATAAGATACTTATGTTGGTTGTCTACCAATTAAATTTGCAAGATACCCAAAATTTCTTGCCTAAAACTTATGATGCCCAACTAGTAATGAAAATTACAAGCCAGTGAACAAATGCACAGCTTACCTGCAGCTTTGAAGATGCTACTTGCATAAAACAGTATACCATTTATTCCACTTAGCTGTTGCAGCACAAGTAGACCAATTCCTATCTGCGAAATGTTGTGGCATTGTCACAAACTGATAATTACAAAATGTGAATACTAATTAGGTACGAGATAAGCTGACAAAGTTAAGTTACAATTAGGGGTGTTCGGTATTTCTTTTGGTTCAACTCTTGAAAACGGATTGTAGTCCTTTTGTTTGCTGATGTTACTGCTCTCTGCATAATGGGGAGCAAAGCTAAAAGTTAATCCCACTGATTTCATAAGAATGAAGTACATGTGTGCTCAATGTTAAAGAACTAATGATACCCAAAGGGAAGATTGCTCATATAAATCATATTCAATCAGTCTAAGAACGAAAGAAAGTGCTTACCTTTATATCATTCACTTCTGCACTGATGTCAGCATCGAATCCCCTCAGAACTTGTAGAGAAGTCTCGCAATCATCCATCATATTCATCTTTGCCTAGAAATATAAGGGGAAGAAATGTCCATTGGAAATTTCAGTTTGGCACAATGATTCAGAGTTCATTATGCCACTTGTGCATGTATATACCAGCCATCTTGGAGATTCCGGAATGAAGAATAGGCCAGGTATCAACACTATGCAGGGCAAGGTTCCTACAAGTATGGCATCATACAATTTAGGAAAAAAGTTATCTTAGATAGGGTCAAAATAAAAATATTTTCCTACTATATTTCTATTATTCAATATATTTGCTCAAATCATTTGATGCTGCTGATCATGCGAGCTGAAATATCAGAATTGAAGTGCAAACTAACAGCAATAACAACAGCAGACCCACTAGTGTATTAGGGTATAGCCACATTACCTATTACTGCAAGAAGCCTCCAGGGAACAAACAAGCCGAGCAAATAGGCAAACATGATGCCAAGGGTTACAGACAACTGTAGAATGAACAAGTGCACAATGAGTTCCGCATAAACAGGCCAAGTGTTTACCTCAACCTCACAACTAGAAAAGATGCTTGCGAGTATAAGCAAACCTGGTTCACAGAGCCTAGAGCCCCTCTCATGTTCTGAGGAGATATCTCTGCTATGTATACTGGTACCTGGTGACAGATCAAAATTAGCTGTTATTATAACCAGTCCATGCTTCCACTGTTGTTTTGCCAATAAAAATAACTTCATGGGGATAGATCAGTTTGTCTAAAAAATGCTGATACCTCAGTTGATCTTGTTCTTTTTTTCTCTCACTTGGACAGCTTAAACAGCACACGTACTCTAATTCTCAAGTCATAAATCTCCTATGCAGAAAATAATCAGGGATGGAGTTTTATTATACTAACCACATAGGAAATGATACCGACACCGAAACCTTCAAGCAAGCGTCCCATATACAGAAATGAAGAGTCCTGTAAAGCAGACATCAAACAGTCATCAAGCCTAATGTTGTCATCTGTCAAGCAATATGTTGAATAAGCAAAGGAAACATATAGTGCCATACTTTTGCAAAGGAGATTGCAAGCCAACCAATGACGTTCGGAATCGATGCAATCATCAACGACTGCAAAACATTTAGCAAGCCAGTTACTGTTAGTGAAAAAGAGTACAATTTGGGCGCAAAACATCTCTTCAATTGATGAAAACACCTTCAGTCAAAGTAACTGTAAATAAATACTGGACTTTGGTAAAATATATATCAGTCACGTCTTTTCTGCCCAACTGCATGATCGATGATGACCATGTCAATGGGAAAGATATATCTAACGAATTTATGAGCACGAAAACTAAGGTCATAATCCGATTTAGCGAAGCCGCACAACAAATTCGGCACAGGCGTCAACCGACAGAAAACTAGTGTGCTTTACATTTCAATCAGCAGGTAGCGCATACTACTCTCGACTCTCCGGACAGAATACAAACAAAGAAGAAAAAGGAGTAATAAATGAAGAAAAGGAGCAGAGTTGTTTCTCACCCCTTTGCGGCCCATGTACTCGGCCATCTGCCCGCTGGCGATCGCCCCGACCATGGCGCCCACGTTGGAGAGCGAGCCGAACACCGAGAACTGCGCGGCCGCGCCATCAATTATTAGTTTGGAAACGTGAGTGTGTGTGAGGGGTAGATAGAGCAAAAAGGCAAAAACATAAGTAGTAGTAGAATTCACAGACAGAGGGAGGGGCGTGCCTCGGAGATGGAGAGGTTGAGGTCCCGGATGATGCTGGCCTGCGTCGGGGAGGAGTAGCCGCCGGTGAAGCCGAACTGGATGGGGCCGAGCGCGACGATGAGCGTGCAGAGGAAGGCGGAGACGTGGGACTCGCGCAGGACGGCCATGGAGGAGGTGCCGGCGGCGTTGAGGCTGGACTGGCGCGACCCCATCCCCATCCGGTACCAGCTCCCGCTGTTGGGCAGCAGCGGCTTCTGCAGCGCGCCGTCGTGGTCGCTGCCGCTCTCGTACTCGCCGCCGGATGCCCTGTTGCTCGCCATGGCGCGGCGCGCGCTCGCCGCCCAGCTCGCAACGAGATTTGATTGATTTGTTTCCTTTTCCTCTAGGTGGGGTGGGACTTTGGAAGGAGGAGGACGCGAATGGCAGGAGACGACAGGACAGGAGCGAGACCCACCTCGTTCCGTTGAATGGGGGGTGGGGGTCGTCGTGCCAGGCAGGTCTCCTCGGGGGCCCACCCGTCAGGGACCCAGAAGTGTCTGCTCTTTTTCTCAGCTGAGCTGGACATGACTTTCAGCTCATCATCCACACGTTTATCTTTGGACGGATAAATGTTGGCCGTGTTATTTTTGCCGTTTGTCGATACTGTCATACTGGGCCACAGTGTTCTTTGAGCAATTCTACTGCCCCGTGCTGCCAAACATGCTAAAATGTTTTCCTCTCGTTTGGTTTCGCCCCGGCCCCTGCAAACGACTTATCATCAGCCGGAAACTCCTTGACTGACTGACATAGAATATTTACCGACAGATGGGGTCTGGCTCAGCATAATCTGCATCGTATTAAGAAGTCCTTTACCATGTTCGTTAATGCTGAAATTTGTTTATACTAATACTTATACTAAAATATTATAAGAAAAATACATTATTCCATAGCTAAAAATAGCTCCAAATAACCTCAAACGAACAGGACGCTTGTCCGAAGAGCATGGATCAGGTCGCACGTTCGTGCCAGCCCATGCATGTCGGTGGTGGCTGGTGGGCGACCAGCTGCTCACAGTCACAGCCACGTCAGATTCGCATGGGACAATAAGCTACGGGCTACTACCTCCATTTCTTCTTGAAGAAAAAGCCATTGTGCTCGCGGCCACCGTCGTCCATCGTGCGCCTCGTGGTGCGGACGGTACAGCTAGTCTCCCTCTCCCTGACGGAAGACTCTCAGGGGTTGGTTGTTCCTTGTTCGCATGCTGCAACGGAAGTCCAAAGCCTACAACTACAACAAGGAAAGGAACGTGTTGCATGTGTGCAGATCATGCCGGATTTTCTACATCCACAGTCTGATCGGGATGCAACAGCAACACCGGAGATCTCTCCGCCTGTTTGGTATCACTCGACACCGTCACCGACAGCGACGCGATCCAAATTTGATCAACATGACCTACTTTGTTGTTAGTTTGTCAGCTGGCGTCGTTTGGTTGGCATGCATTATGGGCAGGGCTAGCGCCCGGACGAACGCTAGCCCCCCGCTGCTGTCGGACGTAGCTTCGACACCTGCACCCGTGGCATGTCGGACGCCTCCGCGCTCGTACAGATCCCGTGCCAATGATCGCGTCCCGGCAACCCGCGGCCCATCTCATGCCAGCGACTGCGTCTGGCCACATGCGACCCAACCCGCGCCTCAATCGCATCCCGCCTGCGCCCCCGTGTCAAGCCCGCCGCGCTCCTTCCCCGCCACGCCTCACTCCTCCCTCGTGGTGGCTGGTGCCATCCCGACCAGCTGCCCTCCGCCATCTCAGTCTTGGCGCGCCCTTCCACGCCCTAATGTCTCATTTCGCATGGGATTGTTGCTACATAAGATACTCTTAAAACATACGTGTATAGTCATTGTAACATCCAGATGAAATGCTTGCAACATGCGTCTGAAACAGCTGAAACATTTTGAACATACAATTGCAACATATGTCTGAAACAGTTGAAACATGCGAGAACATACACTTGAAACATACGTATGTAGCTATTGCAACATATGCAACACCAGATCCTTTTGCCACATCCAGATGAAACACGTGAAACATAAAGATTAAACACATGAAACATACATCTGAAATGCATGAAACATACGATTGCAAAAGGTTCGTCGACGCGGATGAAAGGTCCTTGTTGGTTTTGGTAATTGAGTGACAACCTAGGTGGACTAATTGTGTTTATGTGAGATACACAGGTGATTAGTCCACAGGTACATGTGTATGAGCAACATATGCCATGGAGGTGAAAATGGCTTGGAGATGTTGCAAAGCTCACACATGTGATGATGAAGGAGCTTATTGCACATGAGACATGACATTGAGTCATGTGATCAAGGTGGAGAAGATCAAGACAAGACTTGGCTTGATGGACCGGTTGCAAGCGTGAAGGGCAAGTCAAAGGCTTTGAGTGATGGACCGCGTGTTTGGGTGAAGCTTGAGCAAGACTTGGTGCCGATCGATGGCAATGGTGAAGAGCAAGTAGAGTCAAGATCGATGAACCAATATGATCATGTGATGATATGAAGTGGATCATATCATTGTTGATCGTGTTGGTGCATGTGTTGCATCGACATTGAAGGAGATGGAATGGAATGCGCAAGGCAAATGTATAACCTAGGGCATTTCATTTCACCGGTCATAGGTGTGTAGAGAAGTTTATGACCGGGTTTAGGATAGATGGCCGTACTATCAAGAGGGGCAAACTTGTTTGCATATCGGTCATCTAGTGCCACTCGAGTGATCTAACTTTACATTGTCGCTAGGATCGAGTGGCGTGGCAAGTTGAGTGGCTAACATCCTTTGGGAAATGATTGTGAAAATGCTAACACACATACACATGGTGGTGTACACTTGGTGGTGTTGGCACATTTATAAAGGAGGTGGTGTTTGCAGGGGTGAGATGGGTTTGGGTCCTTCTCTCCCTCCCGCCGAGCACTCGGCGGGATTCGGCGCTTTCGGGAAAATAGAATGCCTATTTTCTATTGCGTCGGATGCAAGTTCTTGTGGTTAGCACATTGGAGCAAGGGTGATGAAGTTAGAAGTGAAAACGAGTTAGTCGCGAAGATGCTGGCGTCGGTCAATGACCACGGACTTTGGATCTGAATGCACCGGACGCGGCGGCAGCTGCGTCCGGTCAGCCGACGCATCGATGACGCAGAAAGTTGGAGTGTGACCCCGCTGGCTGCGTCGATCAATGTGACCGGACGCCGCCCCGGCCGAGGTCGGTACTTATTGGAAACGACCGGACGCGGGGTTCAAGCGTCCGGCCGCTTGATAGCTGATGCGTCGGTCAGGTCAAGTGACCGTTGGAATCAGACACGGTCGTCTGCGGGGCGACGGACGCCGAGGTCCGGCGTCCGGCCAACATCGACCGAAAGGCCCGGCCGGCCCGACCGCTGCTTCGATGAAGGGTAACGGCTAGTTTAGCCCTTGGGGCTATAAATAGAAGTGGCCCTCGGCCATGGCTGGTCTTTGAGCACCTCAAGGGACTTAGTGACCGTGCTTGTGAGTGCTTGGGAGCCCTCCATCACACATATACTTGATAGTGATCATTCGATTGTGTGAGTGAGCGATTCTAGTGCGATTGCATCGTGAGGTTGCATCGAGTGGCACTAGGTGGTCGTGTTGCAAGCCGATGGTGCTTGTTACTCTTGGAGGTTGCCACCTCCTAGACGGCTTGGTGGTGGTCTCCGTCGAAGCCCGCAAGAAGCTTGTGCGGCACTCCGGAGAAGTGCTTGTGAGGGGCATTGTGCTGCGCCATGAAGCGGGAGCATGAAGAGCAACTCTAGTAAAGCGTGTCATTGAGCTACCCTCACTCAAGGGGTAGGTTCTTGCGGCGCCCGACGTGCGGGCTTAGCGAGTGATGCTAATTAGCCGTCGAACCACCAAGTGAGCGGTCGACACAACGGGGACTAGCGTGTTGGCAAACACGTGAACCTCGAGAGAAAAATCATCGTGTCAACCTTGTTCTTCCCGTTTGTTTGCATCCCCATTACACAAGCTTGTAATTACTTATATATATATATCTTAAGCTTGTGTAGTTGCTCTTGTAATTAGATAGCTTGTGTAGCTAGCTAATTACCTTCTTGCTTGTGTAGCATAGAAGTAGCTCTCTTGCGTGGCTAATTTGATTTTAGTAACCTTGTTAGTCATATTGCTTAGTTTGTGTAGCTAAGTATTTGCGCTCTCTAATTAGGCATTGGTTGCCTTGTTATTGAGCATTGCTAGTGAGCTTAGTTAGCTTTGTGCTTTTGCTTACTAGCATGTGTAGGAGCTCCCCTTGTTACTTAAAGTACTAGTGGCATAGGTTTGTGTGACCTTGCTCCTAGAATTGTTTAGGAGAGCTCTAGCTAGCCCGGCACCTTAGTTGCTTTATTAGTATCTTTGCAAGGTGCTAGTGAACATATATAGAGGGGTGTAGTCTTGGCTAGACCGATTGTTTTAATTCCGCATTTATATCGGTTAGCCGACGCGATTAATTTTAGAAAAGACTATTCACCCCCCCTCTAGTCCGCCATCTCGACCCTTCAACGGAGCTCGATACCAGCGTAGAGTTCGATGCCACTGAGTGACGCAGAGGGCGGTGCTAGTCCAAGCGCGAGGCACGGGCCTCGGCAGTGGTCACAGCAGGCGGATGGCACGCACAGCCGCGGAGAGCGGCGCTAGTCCGGGCGGGAGGCGCGATTCCGAACGCGAGGCGCGGTGGAGGCGGCGTATCCGCGTCGACGGGAAGCACGACGAGCGGGGCGGGCAATGGGAGGGAGCGCGCGTCGCGTGAAAGAGTGGCGCGAGCGGGAGTAGCGAGGCGGACTGTGCCGTGTAGCGTTCGGATGGCTGGACGCTCGCGCTCAAGAATTATCGATACATCATATGTGCGGAGTGAAAACTGGTAAACCACAGCTCCAAAAAGCAGGCTCAGACCTAACTGCCGGTCTATGGGTTACTCCCTTCATTCCTTTTTATAAAACATGATTTAACATGGCACGATCTCCTAAATTACACTTTGACTATTTATTTATTTTATAATATTTATACTTTTACATTTATGAGAGTTGGATACTATGTTTAATTACAAATCCAATTGTATCGAATTTGTATTATAACATTTAAAAAATGTTAGCTAAATTAATGGTTAATGATTTTAAATATTTGAATCTTTAATATGCGTGTTGTAAAAGAAAATGGAGGAAGTAAGAAGGTGGCCTCAACAAACTTGCTTGGGAAGTTGGGATTGGTCAGTTAGTGCCCAAGCATCCATTTACATATACTTTGACAATGCACTGTTGATCTTGCATCACTGAAGGCAAGAAGAGAGCAATATGATAAGAGTCACTGCTCCAGCATTTACATGTCAATATTTGCCACAGCATTCTGTCGTATCAACAGAAATAATCCGTGGCCTTCGCCTAGTATTTGTGTACGTTGGGACTTGGGAAGGATGCTCAAAATTTCCTGTTAGACACATACCAACCGTAGCCTTTCTAAGAGAAAAACTGGAAGAAGATATCAACCGATGCTCAATGCTCAGCGAAACGACCATTGTATCCCCTCTAGGGTTCTTCATCTTCGCCACCCAAAGGATGACAAAAACCAGGGTGAAGGCGCTCACAACCATGTACGAGAGGAAATTGCCTGCCCAGAAATTAAAAGGGAAAAAAAACTGCATCAGCTTTCCATGGTTCAGAATCCTATCCTATTCAGATTTCAAAGCTGAAGCACAAAGGTGTGGTGTGGACCTCCAACACTCAAGGTGAGCATCAAGTTCGTCGTCATATTGTTATGGCGAAGGATATCAGCCGGGTGGCCAGTGTCGCAATGCTTCCGCCGAGACTCTTGATGCTAACTGGGAGGATCTGAAAAACGCAGAGAGTTTGAACTATATATACCTTCAGATATCTCTTACAGTACATGCCTGAGTTGTAGCCTCAGACTCTTGCTTATGCAAATAGTTCTCTTCGGTAAGATGCCAAAATTAGGAGACACAGAGGCCTTGTACAAGCTTTATATCAGGTATATATATGCAACAAGGTAGTGTACCTCAGACATCATGAGACATGGAATGGCACCCATACCAAACGAGAAGGTAATGACGAAAGCCTGAATATAGTTGCACCAGTCATTATTTTGGCATAGATTATGCATTTGTATCCAGTTTTTCAGAAGAAACATAGCTGACACATACCACGATAGCAACCAAGGAGATCATAGTTAAGATGTAGTACGAGTTAGAATCCGATGAAATGTTATCCTGAACAAAACTATTTGAAAAAACAGTTTCAAGTAAAAACATCATGTTTCTAAAATAGGCAGCTATAGCACAATTATATCTTTTTTTCATAGGGTCCACCGCTACAATATTGTCACTTGGTTCTGCTATTTTGGCTCCTCTAAACACCACTATTTGGCTTAAATGAAAAATATTTTTAGGTGAATACAATCTATGCCTCTATGTTATGTTCTTTACTTTATAAATGATGTAATGAATCATTGAATATTGAATGTGGATCATAGCTGTGAGGATGTTGATTGATTTAACAAACGGAAATGCTTGGGTCAGGACGTCCTGTTCGATAGGAATCCGTCGGCTGCCGCCGTTGGAGAGCCATGTCACCAACCGAATGGCCCAACAGACTCGCACCATGTTGCTAAAGAAAAATAATACTCCGCTCTCACTTTCCCTTTCCTCTTGATTCCCCGCAGCGCCCGCACCCATCCCGCCGCGCCCCCCGCACCACCGCGGCGTGTTGCATCACGGCTGCGCCGCCACGCCCGCACTGCCACGACATGCACCACCACGGCTCTCTCCACCGCTCTCGGCCGACCGCCATCCTTCCTCTCCATCGCGCCCGAGCGTGGCCGCTCGCCTTCGTCGCTCTCCACCGCACCTCTGCCCCGCTGCGTCCTTCTCCAATGCGCCGGCCGCCTTCTCCACCGGAGCGAGGACAACTCGCTCCAGACCCGCCACGGCCTTCTCCGCCGGAGCGGCGAGCTATACACCAATGAACTCCACGCGCCAACGAGCCTCCATTTTCAAGCAGCAAGGAGATGTTGCGCTGAAAACGTATGTTGCAAACGTATGTTTCAGATGTTTCAGAGGTACGTTACAATTGTTCCATATGGATATTGCAAAAGTAGATCTGAATGTTGCATATGTTGCAAGTGTTTCAGAGACATGTTGCAATCGTTTGTTCAAAGTGTTTCATCTGTTTCAGACGTATGTTGCAAGCATTTTGATTTGGATGTTGAATATGTTTCACACATATGTTGCAGGAGTATATTCCAAATGTTTCAGTTGTTTCATTCTTATGTTGCAGTAAGTGTTTTCATGTTACAAGTTGCAATTATTTTATCTAGATGTTATATATATTTCACACATATGTTGTAAGTGTATGTTCTAAATATTTTATCTATTTCAGACGTATGTTGCCTTCAAGTGTTTCATATTGCAAGTGTTTCGTGTTTCAGAGGTATGTTCCGAAAGTCATTGGGCCACGACCGAGCGCCGAGGAAAGGGGCGTGGCGAGCCAAAGGCCGGCGGATGGGGCGCGCGGTGCGCTTGGGGTCCTACGGACAAGGTGCGCTCGTCCTCATCCCGGCTCCCAGGTCCCGCCCGCGCAGAGAGAGGAGGGGGTTAGGGGGAAGGAGCGGTGGGCACGGGGCAAGGCGAGGTGGACGGGGGTGGGGTACGCGTGCGGGGCGAGGCAAGGCAGACGAGGAAGGACATGTGCGTGCATCAGCGATACAACATAGCAGCAGGCGCGGACAGGCGGGCTGGCGACTGAAGCCAGGGTCGCGCGATGATGTTTCTGATGGGCTGTTCGGTGGGAGTACGCCCAGGTTACCGTCCGATGAAATCCGATACCATCGGATGTCCGGGCGCCAGCACATCCGTTTAACAAATGTCGAGTAATGGATCCAGAGACATGTTCTTTTACAACCCTGTACATATATTGAGTATTCATGTTCATAAAATGTCCTTATTTACATGTTTTCAAGCAGAATCCATAGCGAATTTTCATTTAAAGTTTAAACTATATAAAATTGCTAGATGAAATAGCTTCTGCTATATTTTACTATATCTTTTTCTAGCTCCCGGAGGATTTGCCACGCTATTTGCATAGACCACCTTGCTATTTTTCATAGAACGTGCTATGCGCGTGCTTCATTAAGAGGAGGGGAAACAACCCACGAAAGTATAGTACAAACAAATAGGAGCAGACCTGCACGCGAAGTGCCTAGCAAGACAGAAAACAAAGAGAGAGGAGACAAGAAGGAAAGAAAAACAAATCTGTGCCACCACACGACATACGGCTCAAACCAGACCTTGCTAATTGCATATACTGATGAATGCTGGACCTCAATGGAAGGACCATTGTATCTCCTCGAGGGTTCTTCCCTTTGTCTCTGGCACCCAAAGGATGATGAACATGAGAGTGAAAGCACTCACAATCATGTAGGAGGCAAATGTACCTGTACGATTTGGAAACAAAGGTAAGGTGTCGTAAGGTTTGGTTGTTCATATATGATCCTACTCTACACGAGAGAGAGATGTATATATGGACCTGCAGCACTCCAGCTCAGAAGCAAATTTGCTGTCATTGTTACTCCAAAGGATGTCAACCAGTTGGCAAGGGTCGCGAAGCTTCCTGCCACACTCTTGATGCTAACCGGAAGGATCTGTCAATATGCAAAGTTTCGAGAATAAGCCTTCATTCAGAATGCTTTCAGCATGTGGCTCAGGCATCTTACGAGCTATATTAGCTATATGTGATAAGGTACTATACCTCAGACATAATGATCCATGGAATGGCAGCCATACCGAAGCAGTAGGAAATGGCATAAGCCTGAACGAAGTATTTGGGCAAAAATTTACGGCACAGATTCCACATTTAAAAACCAATGTTCAGATAAAATGTAATTGACAGACTTACCACGACACCAACCAAGGACACCATACTTAAGATGTTATACAAGCCAGAGTCATTTGAAATATTATCCTGAAACGAATAACCCATGACAAGAAAGAAGAATATTCAGTGGATTGAGATGACAGATGACAGACCCTGAAATCATACTGCATATCAGATTGTTTATAAGCCATTGATTGAATTAGTATAATAGATTACTATTGCAGAGAATACAAAAGAAAAACTGTTATATTCTGATCAGAATCTTATCGCAATGGAACTTGAACTTACCTTGATGTAAAATACAACAGCAACTGCAAGAAGGCTTAGGGTCATCCCAGAAGATGAGATCTGTAATTTGAAGTGGCAATTAAATTAAGCTACAGAGGACCCACAAATTAGTGGCTTTAGAGGGAAGCAGAAGTTACAATAAGGAGGATTCTCCGGCCAGCTCTGTCCAAGAACGTGATTGTAACACCAGTGGCAAGAACCTGATGGAGTGCTGTCATAAGAAGATTAATAAAAACACAGAGAGACTAGATCAGGTCTGTCTAGTTTAGGTACTTGCCCCAATAGCTCCAAGTACACATGTGTCCAAGTTACTGTTCTTGAGCCCTGGACAAGTTTGATTATTAGAACTAAAAGTCAAAACAGACTTAACTGGCACTGTTGTAGATAAAGACAGAGGAGGCATAATGCTTTTGCAATAAACAATAAAATGCCATCATTCATCAAAGCAAGAGAATGATAAACCATGTTACAACTTACAAGGAGAGTAATATATTAGCTTTTTTTAACATGTTATAATGCATTAGGACTTAGGAACAATAAGGTCACTTTATCCCAATTTCACTCTTTTGATTTTTGTAGTCCACTACACTATTTCTACGCCTGTAAAAAAATATTACCAATCAGAAACTCATACTTTTTATTCAGCAAACTGCCAAAACAGTTCCCCAAGGCCCTAATGCTCCAGTTAAATTTGGAAGGAACAAAAAATTATTTCCTAAAATTTATTATGAACAGCTACTAATAAAAAACACAAGTCAGTGAACAAGTGCACAGCTTACCTGCAGCTTTGAAGATGCTACCTGAATAATAGATTATACTGTTTATTCCACTTAGCTGTTGCAACACAAGTAGGCCAACTCCTAGCTGCGAAAAGTTGTAGCATTGTCATAAGCTGACAGTTACAAAATGTGATCATTAATTTGGTACCAGATAAGCAGATAAAATTACAAACTTACAATTAGGGGCATGCGGTATTTCTTTTGGATCAACTCTTGAAAACGTAATGTACCACTTTTGTTTGCTGATGCTACAGCTATCTGCATAAAGCTAAAAGTTAATCCCACCGATTCCATAAGAATGAAGTACATAGAGCCATGCGCCAAATGTTAAAGAAAATAATAATACACAAAGTGAATACTCTTCAAATAAACTGTATTCAGTCAGTCTAAATGAATGAAAGTAAGTGTGCGCCTTTATATCATTAACTTCTGCAGTGATGTCAGCATCGAATCCCCTCAGAACTTGTAGAGAAGTCTCGCAATCATCCATCCTATTCATCATTGCCTACAAATATAAGGGGGGAAACAGGCATCGGAAATTGCAATTTGGCATAATTATTCAGAGTTCGTTATCCAACTCGTGTGTGTATATACCAGCCATCTTGGAGATTCCGGAATGAAGAATAGGCCAGGTATCAACAATAAGCAGGGCAAGGTTCCTACAGGTGTGGAATCACACACTTTATGATAGAACAGAAGGTCCTAAGAACCAAAATATTTGCCTACTACATTTGTACTATCCAAAAAATATGTGTCCAACTTATCAGAGTTGCTGATCGTGCGAGCTAAAATAACAGAGTTGAAATGCAAACTAAGAGCAGCAGCAGCAGCAGGTTTATTAATCTACCAGGGTTTAGCCACGTTACCTATTAACGCAAGAATCCTCCAAGGAAAAAACAAGCCAAGCACATATGCAAGCAAGACACCAACGGTTACAGACAACTGTAGAATGAACAATTGAACAGTGAGGTCGGCATAAACAAGCCAAGTGTTTGCCTCATGAAAAGATAAGACGCATGTGGGTATGAACAAACCGTGGTCACAGCACCAAGAGCTCCTCTCATGTTCTGAGGAGATACCTCTGCTACGTATACTGGTACCTGGTGGCACAAAATTCACAGACCAAAATTAGCTGATATAACCAGTCCATGCTTCCATTGCTCTTCTGCCAATAAAAATAAACTTCATAGGGATGGATCACTTTGTCTAAAAAATGCTCACATATCTGTTGATCTTTTTTAAAGTTAAGTAGGACAGGTTAAAAAGCACAAGTACTCATACTCTCAAGGCATAACCAGGCATGGAGTTTTATTATACATACCACATAGGACATGACACCGACACCAAATCCTTCAAGCAATCTTCCCATGTACAGAAACGAAGTGTCCTGCAGAGCAGAGCAGACATCGACAGCCATCAAAGCCGATGTTGTCATTTGTGAAGCAATGAGTGGAAATAAACTGACACACGTAGCGCCATACTTTTGCGATGGAGATTGCAAGCCAGCCCATGATGTTCGGAACCGCTGCAATCATCAGTGACTGTGAAACAGTTACAAAGCTAGTTAGTGTAAAAGATCGCACGCTGTTTGGTCGGAGCATTTTTCACGGCATGGTCCGATCACATCGTGAAGTGATAGCAGGGTAACCGATCCCAAGACTCAGTAAATCCATCACCGTCAATCTGGTCGTTAACTGATTAACGAGGGGCCAAAAAGTATGTATTTCCCTTGACGTGCGCTTTACGTTTATGCAACCAAACAACATTTTACTCTACTCTAGTTTTTTTCTTGTTCAAGTCGCGGTCTCCTCGCATTGCACAGGCGAGGGTAAGGCTTGCCACTAACACCCTTCCCCAGACCCCGAACAGAGCGGGAGCTCTCTGCACTGGGTACGCCCTTTTAGTTTTTTTCTTGTTGAGGAGACTTAGCGCCTGTTTGGATACACATGGATAGTTACTAGTTGGGGCTAAAAATTAGCCAAATTAGCTATAGGGCCTGTTTGGATGCACATGGCTAGTTACTAGCCGGACTAAAAATTAGCTCACGTTAGCTGTAGTTGGCTAATAAGGACATGTTTGGATCCAAGAGATAATTGCTAGCTAGCTAAAAATAGTTGTAGTGTATCCAAACAGGAGAGCTAATAGATGGTCTAACTTTTTAGCCACATGTCCAACTAGTAGTTACTAGTTAGCCAATTAGCTAGACAACTATAGCTAATTTGAGCTAATTTTTAGCCCAGCTAGTAATTAGTCATGTGTATCCAAACAGACCCTAACTAGTTGAAGATTTAGCTAACAAAATAGCCCTCCTGTTTGGATGCACATGCATTAGAGCTAATTTTAGCTAGTTTTTAGCAAGCTATCAATTAGCCCTTGTATTCAAACGTGACCTTAGTCTACACTCTAATTAAATTTAAGTAGTGGCCAGTAGTGCTGTCAACCCTCTCTGCACAAAGTCATCAAAACCCCCAAAAAAAACGCACGACCAGCACAGACCATGAAACAGTATGTGCAGACAGACAACAATTTTCTGGGACATGTGCAAGGAAACAAAGTCTTAGAATAATGAAGAAAAGGAGCAGTGGAGCAGAGTTTCTCACCCCTCTGCGGCCAACGTACTTGGCCATCTGGCCGCTGGCAATCGCCCCGACCATGCCGCCCACGTTGGGTAGCGAGCCGAACGCCGAGAACTGCGGGGAGTTCAATTAAGTTTTGAAATGAGACGAGAAGAAAACGTCGAGCCGAGCGTGAAGACAGGTGTATGTCAGTGTGTGCGCGCGCGCGCTGAAGCTGCAGCCAGGACGTACCTCGGAGATGGAGAGCTTGAGGTCCCGGATGACGCCGTCCTGCGTCGGCGAGGAGTACCCGTTGGTGAAGCCCAACTGGAGGGGGCCGAGAGCGACGATGAGCGTGCAGAGCAAGGCGGGGACGTGGGACGCACGTAGGACGGCAATGGAGGAGGTGCCGGCGGCGTTGAGGCTGGACTGGCGCGACCCCATCCCCATCCGGTACCCGCTCCCGCTGTTGGGCAGCAGCAGCGGCTTCTGCAGCGCACCGTCGTGGTCGCTACCGCTCTCGTACTCGCCGCCGGCGGCGGCTGATGCCCTGTTGCTCGCCATTGCGCGCGCTGGCCTCCCAGGTTCCCGGCTCGCAGCGAGATCTGATTTGTTTTTTCTCCTCCGGGTGAGGTTGGAGCATGGAGGCAGAGGGAGAGGGGAGGAGGACGACGCGAGTGCCAGCACCCAGAACACGAGGGGAGATTTACGCTTTTACCATTGTTAAGATGGGCAGTTGATGGCATTTACAACTTTAACAGACGAGAGAAGTTTTAGATTTAGATTTATTGTATTTGTGCAGGGGCATGCCACGCCAGCTCAACACGTTAGCGTCTAGTCAGCATGGGCACGTGAAATGTCCTTCTATCCCTGTCTTGCTCCTCTCTCTCCCCCACGTCGACAGCCGGGTCCCGCAGCTCCTGTCACTGCCAAGTGGGCCCCACTCATCAGCTTCGTCTTCCAGCTCCAGCAGCCGGATGGGAGACAGCAAGACGCCCACGCTCTTCCATCCGCCACGCGCAGGAGCCCCGCCAGCCGCCGCTCGCCATGGTCGAAGCTCCATCTCCACAATGGAGCGACGCCGCCCGCGGCCCATGGAGCACCGCAGCACATCTGCTTCCGCGCTCATCCGACAGATCCGCCGCTTGCCCAATCTCCCCGTATCCCAGAGCTGCTGCCCACGCGAGGTGCCCGGAGCAGTTGCTCCCCATGCGAGCTCGCCGAAGTTGCGGGCAGGGGAGGGCGGGAGGCGCCGTGGCCATCGGCGGTGATGGTAGAATAGGACGCCGGATTTAGGATAGCATGAGAGAGAAGAGAGTGATTCGAAATGGTAGAGGAGTAAGAAGAGAGGAGGATGGAGGTGGGAGATGAGCTTGACCTCGGCGGCGCGGATGGCCCTGGCCGCAGGCGAGCTCCGCCTTGGCGGCTGTGTTCATGCAGGGGCTCGGCTTGTAGGTGCGCAAGAAGCTCGCCGCCGCCCCCATGTCGGCCGCTGGGCTCAACCACTCCACCGGGAGCACCACGTCCAGCAGCTCGCTCACCATCGTGGAGGAGCCCTTAACCCCGCCGTAGCATGCTGACAAGGTGCTCGCCCGCATCCAGGTGCTGGAGCTAAAAGACGAAGCTGATGAGTGGGACCCACCTGACAGTGACAGGAGCTGCGGTACACGGGTGTCGGAGCGGGAGAGAAAGGAGCAAGGCAGGGGTAGCAAGGACATTTCACGTGCCCATGCTGACTAGGCGCTAGCGTGTTGAGCTGGCGCGGCATGCCACATGCGCAAATGTGGTAAATTTAAAACTAAAACTTCTCTCATCTGGTAAAGTTGTAAGTATCATTCTAAGAGTGATATTCGAACGAGTGCCAATCTTAATAATGGTAAAAATGTAAATCTCTCGTAGAGAAGGGAGACTCACATTGTTCCATCGAATGGGGAGGAGTGAGACGATCGACTCGTCATGCCAGGGAGGTCTCGCCGGGGTCCCACCCGTCAGAGACAAAAGTGCTAGCTTGTCTGTGTTTCGAGTTACCACCAACGAGTAAATTTCTAGTATTGTGCGTTTGGCTCGGATGGTGTACTTAGAGGACACGAGGTTTATATTGGTTCGGACAGAATGTCCCTACGTCCAGTTCATCGCTGCTACTCATGTTACTAGCACTGAAAGTTTGCAGTAGGGGTTACAAACGGGCGAGAGAGGGACAGATCCCAAGTCTCTGTTGGAAGGAATGAACGGGTGCCGAGAGCTCGGTTGTTGCTCGGCCGTGTACTTGTGTTGTGTTCTGATCGGTTCGAGGTTCGATGGGTTCGTGATGGTTCGATCGGGTCTGGCCTGAATCAATCTCCTTCATGGGACAGCATGCTTTTCTTTTTATAGGCCAAGGGAAAGCACGGGTTACAATGGAGGAAAAGAGAAGAATGAGAGAGAGCCGAAGGCCTTCAGAGTCACTGGGTCCTTCTTCTCCTTCACGCGGGTCCCGTCGACCCTGTAGATGTTAACTAGGATGGCTCCACATCGCGGCCCTGCCCGTCACTAGCGCCATGCGTAGGCGTCGTCTGCCGGTCATGGCGCCCCTCCATCCTGGCGGACATCGTGGTGAACTGGCGCGCCTATCAGTGTTTGTACGAGGGTTAGGTAGAACAGCACCGGTACGCCCGATGTTGTTCCTGATGTGAACCCCTAGGTATGGCCCGTCATGGCCCTGGGTTACATCGGGGTGTGCCGGTCTCTTCCTTGGCGTCAGAGTTTTGATCCAGGCCCATACGCTTGGACCTAGAGTGGTTGGCGGCAGTATGGGACCCCATCGGGTGAGGCGGAGCCCGTGACCTTAGGGTTGGGCGAGGCGAAACCCGTGAGCCTGGGGTTGGGCGAGGCGAGCCCGCCTCTGAGGTCGGGTGAGGCGGAGCCCACCCGGAGGTCGGTCGAGGCGGAGCCCGCCCCCTAGAGGTCGGCGAGGTGAGCTCTGGCCTCGGTGAGGGTCAGGCGAGGCGAGAGCTGTGGTCCCTAGAGGTCGGGCAAGGCGAGTCCCTAGAGGCGACCTTGGGGTCAGCGACTTTGGGGTCAGGCGAGGCGGAGCCCGTGGCCTCGGTGTCGGGCGAGGCACAACCCGCTCCCAGAGGTCGGGCGAGGTGGAGCCCACGACCTTGGGGTTAGTTGGAGCCATAGTCATGCTCTTGACTGCTCAGATAAATTAATGTTGATGTCCATTAGCCCCCCTCCTCTTCGGGTACCCTAGTATTGGTCCTCGATTGTAGCCACCGAGCATGTGGAGGAGTATAATACTCCTTCGGAGGCTTTTTTTGAACTGGAGGACTTTGAGGGCCTTGGCCTTCCTTTGTCGCCCATGGCGTGAGTTGGGGATGGTGATTCCCTTTCGTCGTGATCAGACCCCTCGGGGGTATAGCCGTGAGGTTTGGTGGGTCGAAAAAGGTCTTTCTCTGATATCGACCCCTTTGGGGGTTTATCGTTCTGTGGCCGTGCATTCGGCCTTCATGCGAGTCCAACTTTCCTCAGGCCCCTGCCCATAGTAGGGGTCTAGTCGAGGATCGGCTCATCTTTGTGATTGTCTTTCCTTAAGCGTTTTTTTCGATAAAAACGGAGGGGCTGAGCCATGCCATGATTTTCCTCTATGGACGAATCATGGTGCTCAATGAGCTGTTTAATGGGCTAGTCCGAGTGGGGCCCTGGCATCCCCATTCGCAGGGATCCAGCTTGGGTCAGCTTGGTGTCTAACTCTAGATTCTTAGTGGTCAATCCATATAGTTCTCGGGTTCGTTCGACCGGTCTCGAGGGCTCTATGCCTTTCTTCGAGGAAAAACCATGGATCGTATCCGGTCGAGACTCGAACATGGGCCGAGATGCCCGCGGCTCTTGTGTGCCTGGGTACTAGCCGCTAGCGGGCCCATCCCTTTCCACCCCTTACTCTAAAGGTGCCCAGAGCGGTTGTCGAACCCGTCGGTGGGCCAACCTTCAAACTCCTGGGCCTAGATGGGCCATAGTAGCGTTTTTAGCTCCGTATTCCTCTTACATGTGACGGGTCGTGGCCCGTCCGAAGAGGCGAAATGTTTGGCGAGTTTTCCGAGGGAACGGATAGGGGTTGCGTGCGCACGCCCTGTAGCGAGACGTGGTGGCAGATCGTGGCAAGCGCGGAGATCTAGGCGGGTGGTTGGTTTCCTCGCACCCATTGCTCCTATAAAACCAAAGGGTTGCCCCCCCGGGATTTTATACACACGCCTGCATCCTTGCCTCCACAGCCACGACCACCACCGCCAATCGCTTTGGTTTCCTGCCTCCGTATCTCTGCCGCCGTTGAGCCCGCATCCATCTGCCCCCACCTCCAATGGATCCATGGTGTCGTTCCGACATCACCTTCCAGCGCATGGAGGGCCTCGTCCATCGTGGTCTTCTCCATGTGCGGACCTCGACCGAGGAGTGGCTGCTGCCCGACGAGGAGGATTTGCCGTCGCCGCCCGATGGCTATGTGGTGTCGTTCGCCCACTTCCACGAGCATGGTTTTGTGACCCCCGCCCACAAATTTCTTCGGGGGCTGCTACACTACTACAAGATTGAGTTGCAGCATCTCAATCCCAACGGGATCTAGCACATGGCGACGTTCGTCGCCCTGTGCAAGGGATTCCTAGGGATCAGTCCCTACTTTGACTTGTGGAGGTACTTCTTTGCTGTCATCCTCTAGAAGAAGAGGGAGAAAAGCGGTATGTAGGAGCTGCATATGCTGATAGGGTGCACTGGCATCCAACTTCAGAACAACTTGGTCGAGAGTACCCGTCCATGCAGCTCTCATCATCCAATAAGGGGTGGCACTCATAGTGGTTCTATCTCAAGAACGACGCCGCTACCCCTCTGCTAGAGTTCACCGGGCGCCTGATCAAAGAGGCCCCGGAGCCATGGAGGAAGTGGGGCATCCCGAAGAAGGATAAGAAGAAGATTGGAGACCACATTGCCGCCATCCACATCCTGAAGGAGAACGGCCTAAAGGGGTCGGGCGTCATCGGGGCCTACCACGCAAGGAGGGTGGCACCGTTGATGACGCGCGCGCTCCCACTATACGTGATGGCGCCCGAGGCATCGTTCGACGGAACGGCGCTCCGCTAAGGGACTCCCCAACTCCAAGATCTCGCAACGCAGCGATGGACCCTCTACAGGGCGATGCAGGTGTTGCCCTCGACTTCATTTACCCGTTGTCGGGGCATCCTCCGATGCGTCCGGAGCCAGTCCATGTCGTCTTCATTAGTTTCCCCTTCTCTTGCCTTTTCTTCAATTGATTTCCTGACCCCTTAATACTAACTTTGAGAGGGGCGGGACTAGCCAAGGGACCTCATCCTCATGGATTACTCGGTGCCATTGCCGAGGGATTCATCCATGAGGATGGCAAATCACGCCAAGGGTGAGCGGCTGAGGAAGGCGAAAGAGGACAAGAAGAGGAAGAAGCAGCAGAAGCTGCAGGCGCGGGAATGAGGGGAGGACACTGATAGTGATGATGATGATGGTGACGACAATGAGGTAGCCGATGATATCGAGTGGGACAACCTAGAGAACGAGGATGCACT